AAAGGGTTTTTTAAAAAATGTGCATCATATTGTAGTTTTTGAAGAAATAATTTTAATATATACTTTTATGAACACCCTTAATAACCGCGTCGATTGACTGTCCGTCTGTGTGTCTGCTTGTATTGGCGTCAAAATCGCAAATGTTAATTCGTAACCTTTTTATTTTGACCTATAGTTAACCTCCTGATTGTATACTCCCAGGCAACAGACTCGTTTTTATTTCTGCAAGCGACACTAAGCAAAAAATCAATTTTCTAATAAAAATGTATCATTTACAGATTGATGACATTCTTTTGACTCTAAGCTTGAGTGAGCATCGCAACACGATGACGCGCAACCTGTCAGGAGGGCAAAAGAAACGATTATCGATCGCACTTGAGCTGGTGAGCAATCCGCCGATTATGTTTTTCGATGAGCCCACTTCCGGACTGGACAGCTCGACATGTTTCCAATGCATTCATCTATTGAAAATGTTGGCTGCCGGCGGACGTACTGTCATCTGTACTATACATCAGCCATCCGCTCGACTATTCGAAATGTTTGATCAGCTTTACACGCTTGCCGATGGACAGTGCGTGTATCAAGGTAGCACTAAGCAACTGGTGCCTTTTCTATCCACGCTGAGCTTGGAGTGCCCCAGCTACCACAACCCAGCGAGCTACGTAATTGAGGTGTCGTGCGGAGAGCATGGTGATCACATACGCAAGCTGGTTGATGCCATTGACAATGGCAAGCGGGACATTCGCTCTTCGGCAGACTATGCTGGTATCAAGGCACGCAACGATTTGGTGAAAGTGCAAAATTTGAAAGCTATTTTGGATAAAAACGATCTGTCCAACGTTAGTGGCAGCAAGTACGAGGACAACTTAACTCTGAACAACGGTTTGCTGAATGGAATGGTCAACGACATTGTTAAGGAAACTAATGGTCTAGCAGCGCAAGCTGTGGTGACCACCAACGAGAAAGGCGATGCTATGATTGATGTCGAAAAGACAGACAATTGCACCGCCGCGCTACTTTCGGAGGAGATTCTGTCGCCCGAGCGCTATCCAACATCACAATTTCATCAGTTTTGGGTAGTTCTGAAGAGGACCTTGCTTTTCAGTTACCGTGACTGGGTAGGTCATAAAAATCATGCCAAAAGTCGCGTTCGTTAATACCAAAGCTAACTGTTTGCTCTTCTTTCAGACTTTAATGTACTTGCGCTTATTTGCCCACCTCCTGGTTGGTTTTCTAATTGGAGCTCTGTACTATGACATTGGTAACGATGGCGCTAAGGTACTAAGTAATTTGGGCTTTCTGTTTTTCAACATGTTGTTCTTGATGTACACATCTATGACCATAACGATTTTGTCATGTAAGTCTTTCATCTCTCAAGTAATGTAAAATTGTAATCACAATATTTAACATTCACAGTCCCTCTTGAAATGCCGGTATTGCTAAAGGAGAACTTTAATCGCTGGTATTCTCTGAAGTCATATTATTTAGCTATATCAGTTGCAGATCTACCATTCCAGGTATATATTTTTGTTAAATATTTTTTTGGACTTATAACATTATCCTATTCAAATTTATTTCAGGCTATTTTCTGTGTCATCTACGTATCAATAGTATACTACTTTACCTCACAGCCCTGGGAACTTTTCCGTTTCTCCATGTTCTTATCAGCTTGCCTTCTAATTTCGTTCGTGGCCCAGTCTGTTGGCCTGGTCGTCGGCGCTGCAATGAACGTACAAAACGGTGTCTTCCTGGCGCCTGTTATGTCGGTACCATTCCTACTCTTTTCTGGGTTCTTTGTTTCGTTCGACGCAATACCAGTTTATTTACGCTGGATCACATACCTTTCATATATACGTTACGGTTTCGAGGGTACAGCTTTGGCCACCTATGGCTATGGACGTGAGAAACTAAAGTGCTTCCAAACGTATTGTCATTTTAAATCGCCCCTGACCACATTGGAGGAGTTGGACATGGTCAAGGCGAATTTCACACTTGATATTGTTGCGCTAGTTGTAATTTTTGTAGTTCTGCGGGTTTCGGCCTATCTCTTCTTACGCTGGAAGCTTAAGACTACTCGCTAACTATTTAAATATATTGTTGTGTTTGGGTTTAAAAGCTTTCTGTGTGTCTACCCCAATGTATCTATTAATATATCACTAATTGATTTTAGATCCCCGAAACGTTCAGTTTCTGTATAATAGTTTCAATAATACGTTGTATAGTCAACATCTTTAGCTTAAGTGTGATGGGACCACAAATAAAGGTTTCACTGTGATCTGTATTTCAGCTCCAGATATAACATACAAATTTTAACAATATAGAGAAAAAAAACAGCAACTATAAAATGAGTAAAAGACCCAACGGCGAAAAATTTTTGGGGTTTGGTAAAGTGAATTATAAATCAAAATTTTGGGATACTACAACGTATGGTTTGTAAATAATACCACACACAAATATGAAAAACCTTCAAAATACGAATCCTATAAAATGAAACAAATATTTTAAAGCCATTTTTTCACGAACAAAATGTTATTTATAAATGTTATTAATACCTTTTGGAAATTGTATATTGAATATATTTTGTAATAAAGTTTAATGACATTTGAAGAAGAAGAAAAATGCCTACGCTTTTTTTGCAATCCTGAAAATTATCGAATTTATATTTCAATCTACTTATAAACAAAAACAGTGGAAATTTTTAATAAAAGCCTTCCCGGACTTCTATAATTTAATCGAAGCTAATACGATGTGTAGCCTAACACTATTTTGGTCGAAGATTGATTATACAATATAAAATTATTTAAGAATATAACATTTGTTTTTCAAAAACTCGCAAAATTTCTTCTAAGTGTCCACAGTTATATTTGGATTAAATGGAAAAATAAAATCGTTTAAAATTGATTATATATTTCTAGCATTCAGATGAATGTATTTTAACAGCGATTCTTGGTTTCTTATATTACTGTCAAATTTTATGCCAAAATATGACAACAAAAATTGGCAAGTGGGTTTAAAAACCACATTACCTGAAATCGGCAATAACTTGGATAAAACTAACATCTCATATTGATGCGACTGAGTATATATATAAAGTGTTGTTGCAGTTCCTCGCAAGTGTCATCCAAAGATTAAAAAAAAAGATGCTTGATATTTTGCTCTGCCTAAATTTCAAACTCTTACAAGTTTATCAAAACTAAACCTATAGATTAGTTATGTCCCTGAATTTGAAAAAAAAAAATATCAATATTTTTAATTTTTTAGAAAAAAAAAATAAAGCTACAACATTTTCTTTAGATAAAACCAGACATCTTTTTGTTTAACCGACTGCAAATATTAAAAAAAAGTCAAAATAAAAAGTAATATTACAAACAAAAAAAATTAACTTGTTAAGCTCCCAAATCCATTTAAAGAACCGTCAAGTCTTTGAACGCTAACAAATTGGTCAAAAGTGAATCGATTTACATTGCTCATGGTGTTTCTTCTAAATTAGTATAATGTTAGGTTTTCTAGAGGCAGGTATGGCGGGTTTGGCTCGGTTTGGTTAAGACGGCAATGTGACAGGCCTATATACATATATGCAATCTGTATGGATAGATAGTTACTGCTGTGTTTATGCGGTTATAAAAATGTATAAAAACGGCAACATGCTGAATTGTTGCGACTGGTTGTCTGCTGGTCGGCTCTTTTAAACAACTGCATATGTGTTCTGTTGCTCGATATCTGTTGCGAAATATTTTTGCAATCTTAATAAAATTGGTTACCAATTTATTTGGATTTTTTCGATCCAGTTTTCTTTTTTTTTTTAGTTATTCAAGGGTGAAGTAAAATATTGGTTAAGAAAAGACTAGAAATAGCGCCGGTAAGTAAAACGGGGATTGTTTACTCCAGGCACGGCCATTCTCAGTTTATCTCTCGGTATAGCAACTTGTACCCGTTTGGTTTTGCCGCCATTTCCAAGTTGCTTGGCAACCGCTTTTTGAATGTTGCCAAACAAAGCTGGAAACACGATGAGTCGACAGTAAGAGCGAGACCAACAGGAACAAGTAATCCGGACTAATCAACTTAAAGATACTCTGTGTAATGTTAGCACACATTCGGTATCACTTGTGTGTGCCAGTTTTATATACATATATTCGGACAAACCAAGATACTAGCAATAATCTTTCGATCAACTTTATTATTTATTATATGATTGCTTTTATTTAGAGTCCCGCGGTATATTTAGTTTAAAATATTATTGACCTTTGATTAGATTGCTTGAATATGAAATTTAGGATCTAGTCTAAAGAACGTCTAGTAGGTTAATGATCAACTTTTAACGTTTCCATTTCCATGTACAGAAATACTTTGTACTGTCGGTGAAATCTTTTTTGTCCATTGTTAAACTTATACTGTTATTTTCAGAAACAGGGTATAAAGGAGGGCAACACCTTTCTAACAACATCATTAATTTTCAGTTGTAAACTACGAAACATATTGTGGTAGGTCGCACTTAAAAAAGCGCTGATCGAGAAAAGAACACAAAAGCAAGGCGAACTTAAAAAACATTTCAAGTACTGCAGATCAGACTACTGAGATTAGAGATAAAGATTGCTGCCATGTTCATTCCCATGCAAGGTTTCTTGAAGCCAGATCCTGAAAAGTGACCATTCACGTTTAGCTAAAAATAGACTGGATACCCAACTGTAAAAAAATGTAAGACTGTTCTCTCCTCCTAGAAGAATTCTTTTAGTATTTTCTTTGTCTGCTGCGCATTTTGTAGCATTGCGTGCTCTCATATTGAGTGCGCAACACGCTTTAGTGTGCGTGCAATACAAATGCATTTTTACACATGCATGCATGTGTGTGTACAGACGTCAATGTGTGCGTGTACTAGTGTGCTTGCCTGTCAGCCCGCTGCCGCTGCCACTCTATCATTCTTCCTTCATTTGTTTTCAGTACATTTTCGTTTCTCGGTGCAACAAGTCGTTGCTGTCGCCGCCGTTGTCGTCGTTGTCGTTGTCGTCGTTGTTGCATGCATACATATGTCTGTATATATGTATGTACATCACGCCCGCTACACTAATGCTAAGAGAGTGAAAACCCACAGCAATAACATATACATATACACATTCCCAAATAGAAAGTGGAGTAAGTGCAGTGCGGTTTTAAGCCTTCGCCGGCAAACTTTGTTATATCTAAGTAAAATAGCACTCACGGGTTCACCGCATTTTAAATCCGTTCAATGAACCTGCCAGTCAACGACGTACATAAATCATTTGTCGTTGTAACAGTATGTACATATACATATTCATACAATTGTATACTACGGAATTTGCACCATTTGTTCCTATGCATATACATATATAGAATAAAATAGTTTTATATGCAAATGTGTAAAAAGTAAACATGATTTTATTATTTGAAATGCATATCAGTTAGCAGGTAAATGGTTGCACCCATAATCAGAGAATACAAAAATATTTATTGAGAATCCGAAGGGATGGTCAACACTCCCCGGTTCACTGAATATGCATGCACCATTAGTCACACTGTGATTAATCAAAATATAATGAAAATAACAAAATACTTAACAATTGTCAACTTGCCAGAGGGTATTTCGATTAGTACGCTTTAAATACGCTTTAAAATTATATGAATATGGATGTAATAGGTAAGTGTATGGGACAGTGCAATGGTCAGGCCCTTAATTGAATTCCAATCGACTTTGCATTGTAATACATATGTACATTATTTGGAACATCGCCAAATTGCCGGCACATATGTACATACTATATTGTTTGATTTGGGTTATGTGTACAGTTTGTTATCAAAAAGTACAGATAAACTAATTAAATAAGTTAAAGTAATAAGTACGCATTGTGCACCCGACAAATACAAAGCTTGCGGTACCAGTTAGTGCCACAGATCTGTATACAATTTCCGATGCAGATAAATTCGGTTTGATAACTGATGCTACTCCTATTTTGAAATGGCCCCACACAGCTTATCTGAAGCTCGCACAGCGTAACGTGATGATTGCAAAGCTCTAAGCAAGTACTCGTTCATTTTTTGTTTCGATGCGCGAATTGAATCACACTCACTAGAAAGTTCCGACCAGCGATCGCCCGTTTGCATATGCCGCCAGACATAATCAGATAGTTGCTGTCGGACCGTCAGATGGCCGCATACAACTGAAATCAATTGGAAATTTGAATTCGTTATTCATGACGAGCTGACTAGAGCACAAAACTGATTTAACAAGCTCAGTTCAGTGAAATATTTGTTCGAAGAAAGCTTCTATGTGTCGCGACAGCGGGGCGAGAGAAATGATAATGAATGCTTCTGTCTAATTGAAGCGGAACACAAGATCAATTTAAGTTCCTCATATTTTTGGGTCGCTAGTAAGTGTTGAGCATTGAAACCGGACAGCTGATCCATATTAAAAGTATATGTATATATTTACTGTCAGAGTTGAAGTAAAGTAAATTATATGTTGTACTCAAATCGAAAAAAAACAAAACAACTCTGACTGAGCATGGTTCTTAAAAAACAACAAGATAGAGTAATTATACCTAATTATTTAATTTAAAAAAAAAATCACACAAATAAAACTCAGCACGACATCACAAAAATTAAATATTTCAGTTAGAAGACCGGGATGTGTAAATTCTGTATATTTGCTATTCTAGCGACTTTTGACTATTTAAGTTTATATGTTGTTCAAGCGCAACAGTGCTAATGTATGCATTAATAAATGATTGATCATTAGACACACTTACAAAAAATGAAAATTTGCTATTATTATCAAACAGTTCCCCATATAAACGATTAAATATTTATTCAAATCCAAGTGGTTGCAAAGGTAATGTGTGCCTCGAAATTACGCAAAGGTTATCTCATACCGGTTATATTGTTCATTTACAACCTGTCTACAAAATTAAACATAAGTTTTTGCAATCGTATACCTACCGTTTCTATAAGGAAATCCGTTCATATAAGAGTCGCAAATTTATCGTTCTAAATCTTACAGTTCGCCTGATGTTTTTTCCACATTTTTCCCACTGGGACAGTGTAATTTCCATTCAAATTAACTATTCCTTTTTAATTTCCATCACGTTTTTTAAGTCTACTAGAATGCAGTTTAATCAAAGCGTGCAGGGCGCCTCCAGCTCTCAAAGCGGCGGTAGTTCACTTAACTACAGCAGTGATATAAATGCCATTAGCGTCGAACTTCCTGAGCCAGATGATTATCAATCAGTTAACGGATTAAAGTATCTGCCTGCCTGGCCACAGGTTAACCTGGAGTTTTCCGGCCTTATCTACGAAGTGCCTGATCACGGAAATGGTAAGCCTATAATTAAGGCAATGGCCAATTTTATACTTAGTATTAGCTATTACAAATAGAATATTGATTCTCGTTTCAATAGGAGTAAACTTGTTTTTTATACCCTGCAACCATTGAAAATGGGTAAAAAGGGTATTATGTATTTGTGCAAATGTATGTCGAAGTATCTCCGACCCCATAAAGTATATATATTCTTAATCAGCATCAATAGCCGAGTCGATCTAGCCATGTCCGTCTGTCTGTCTGTCCGTCTGTCTGTCCGTCCGTCCGTCTGTCCGTATGTATGAACGCAAGAGACTTGAAATTTTAGCTGTAGGTCCTCCTAGTCCCCGCGCAGATCGAGTTTGTTTTCGATATTCGATAACTTGCCCCGTTTCCAAGTAATCGATAAAAATCGATATCGAAATCCTGTTTTTTGGGCAAATTCGGTAAATAATATGAGCTAGAGTCACCAAACTTGTCATGTAGCTTCTAGAATAGTATATATATATATTAAGTATCTTTCATTTTATACCTATCGCCTGTTGGAAGAAGAGGGTTCAGGGTATCCCCTAGTCGGGAGGTCCCGACTAGAACCTCATACTTGTTTCTCATTGTTCTTGACCTATAATTTTGTATTGTTTATTTCCCGTAGCCCACAAAACCAAGCAAATTTTACGCAACATTAATGGCGAATTCCGCTCTCACGAGCTAACCGCAATTATGGGGCCTTCCGGAGCAGGAAAAACAACACTATTAAATGCACTGGCAGGATTTGGGTAAGACATTAATAGTATTTAAACAAACCGACATGATCGCTAAGGTCCTAAGGTATTTTGCAGAGCTGTCAGTTTATCTGGTGAGATTCTGGTCAATAACAGTCCGCGCGACATGCGAATCTTTCGCAAGATGTCTCGGTACATTATGCAGGTATGGATCCTAACTTTAATCGGCGTAATAAATAAGAAATTTTCAAATGAATACCGCACAGACAGATGTTCTCGACCCGAAATTTACTGTAAGAGAGATGATGCTTTTAGCGGCAAACTTAAAACTGGGAAATGAATTAAAATTAGCCCAAAAACTTGAAGTGGTGAGCAGATTAACAATATTCGAACTTCTTCAGCTGTACGTTTCTCGTTTGCACATAGATTGATGAAATCTTGGGTATGTTGCGTTTAGCACGCGCCCAAAACACGAAGACTGAAAAAATTTCTGGCGGAGAGCGCAAACGGCTTTCGATCGCGCTAGAATTGGTGAACAACCCGCCTGTAATTTTTCTAGATGAGCCAACAACGTATGTTTTTTGTTATGTGTGAATTAATTTGTTTTACTAGTGTATTCGGCTTCTTGCAGTGGCCTGGACGATCTATCCAGCTCGCAATGCATAGCGCTTCTCAAAATGTTAGCAGCCGGCGGTCGGACTGTCATCTGCTCCATACATACGCCGTCCGCCAAGATTTTTGAAATGTTCGACAAGGTGTACGTACTCGCTGAGGGTCAGTGCATCTACCAAGGAAGTGGAGCCAACATTGTTCCATACATGAACCATCTAGGGCTGTACTGTCCGCTAACATACAATCCGGCTGACTTTATAATTGAAGTGGCGTGCCACGAGTACGGTAACAATTACCACGATCGCATGGTGGAAGCCGTGTGCAATGGCCGAGTCGTACGATGGATGCCACCAGGGGAAAATGGCAAAGAAACACCAACAAAATCGGATACAACTTCGGGTGCCTCCTCATACTATGAAATAGATCAGTTTGAGGAGGAAATTAATCCAAAGTTACTAACATCCAAGTCCACCTGGTGGATGCAGTACAAATTGCTGCTCAACCGCATAATGCTGCAGATGTGGCGAGACAATGTAAGTACAGAACGAATTTACAAATTACCCGATTTAAGTGAATATTATATCTTTTAGTCGTACATCAAACTGAAATTTTACATGAATATAATTCTGGCTTTAATCGTTGGCGGCATTTATACGGGAGTGGGAAGTCAAGCTTCAAAGGCTCTGTTTAACTTTGGCTTTATGTTCACCATTGTCATAGCCTATTTGTATCTGCCCATGATGCCGGTCTTGTTGCAATGTAAGTCAATATCTTTGCTGTTAAATTTTTAATGGTTGTTCGCACTTTCATCATTCCAGTTCCCACCGAAATCAAACTTCTAAAGCGTGAATATTTCAATCAGTGGTACCGATTAAGCTCTTACTATGCCGCCATGATTTCTGCCAAATTGCCTCTGATGTTCGTCTTGGCAGTCATTTATTTGGCAATTGTGTACTTAATGTCCAGCCAGCCGCTTGAATGGTTTCGATTCGCCATGCTCTTTACCATTGCATTTCTAACGGCTCTCACCTCAGACAGTTTTGGCCTACTGATATCCAGTAGGCTTAGTTTGGTGGTAAGTACCACGATAATTCCTATATCCCTGCTACAACTAACTCTTTATATATCTCCTATATTTAGAATGGCATGTTCATGGGACCAGTTCTTGCCGTTCCCCTTATTTTACTTTCCATATACGGCATGGGCTATGGTAAGGATACCTACATCTCGCCCCTCATGCGGTTTCTGATGTCGCTCAGCTTTCTACGCCATGGTCTAGAAGGCCTAGTCGCTGCTCTATATGACTATGGCAGGGGCGATACAATTTGTGAAGCCGAAGTTTTTTGTATGTTTAAGAAGTCGCAATTTTTATTGATATTTCTTGGATTTGAGAACATCAACTATTTTTGGTCCGTGAGCTGTTTACTTGGATTCTATGTGATCTTCACAGTTGCCGCATATATTATGCTACGCCAGAGGTTAAAAAAATCGGCAGCAAATCCGATGGTTACATATGTCTTGCGGCTTCTGACAGAACATTTTAATTTCACCTCGTATAATTATTAGATATAGCTTTGGGGAACAACTTTACATGCAATATGTTTATGTTTCAGCCATTTTTTTTAAATTAGTATATAGATATTCATATAAATTGAACAAAGTAGAGCTTGTGATTAGATTTAAGCGGCCTCCAGATGGTCAAATTCGAATTTGAATACTTCGTGCCAATGAAATGTTTTTATTTTTATGTTTTATTTTACAGCACATATATGTTTATTATGTACAACAGTCGAGGTACGTTTTGCGAATGTATATATATATATATATATATAAATAAATTAATTGATATATTAGGCAACGGCTTAAAATAAAGATAAGGGTAATTATTTTTAGGCAAAACAAAACTTACACGGAAATCACACGCGCACAACAATCCAGATTTTTATATTTAATTATTACGAGCAAAAACACGATCGGCAAATTCGTTAACGGACACTAAAATAATAGCGCAGGTATCAACCTACTTTTTGATCCTGCAACTATTTTCGATGAAATTTATTTGCCGCCTTTTTAGCATAATTTTCGGCATATAGGCGCAAAATTTTTGTGAGGCACAAAAAAAAACATGCAAAAAAAATTTACTTGCTTTTCAACAGGCACTGAAATCACACACGCGAATTCGCAAACGGACACTAAATTAATATACACACATTAAATTTAACACATTTTTCCTGCAACTATTTTCGATCATATTTATTGCCGCCTTTTTGGAGCAATTTTCGGGATAAAGGCGCGAAATTATTTTTAGGCAAAAAAAAAATGTACATGCTTACTTGTCGACAGGCTAAGCTCTCATTACACACACGCACAATTATTAACACGATTAGATCGAGCAAAAACACTATCTGTAAATTCGTAAAACGAGCACTAAATTAATATTACCCCGCGCAAGCCGCTTTATACACGTTGATGAAAATTTTATCCTGCAACTATTTTCGATCATTTTTACTGCCGCCTTTTTGGAACAATTTTCGTTTTACAATACTATTTTCGAAGACTTGCAATACTCATTGCAGCTTGTCGACAACCTAATTGCTCTGACACCCAACAGTCGTCAGCTGATTAATTTGAATTAGGAGTTTTGTATCGGTCAGACAATGGTCACACATATTCGACAACTCTACTACTATAAAAATGATTTTATTCTTGATTTACCCACTAATAACTTAGGGGTATAACATCTTCATTTCAGTGTAGGTTCGTATATATATATATAATATATATATATACAAATCACACCGTAGATCACAGCATATATAATTTACCTGTAATATATATATATATATATTATACGGAAAGCAGAATTTCTTTCAATCATTTTCTTATTATGCAGTTTTTGGTATAATCTAAAAAGTTGTAAGAAAACTGTGCCCTCATTGAAGTTTATGGGTAAATGTGTTTTAAAATTTATATATATTAATTTATACATAATTAAACACAATTTAAAACGTTTTACTTGTATTTTAAAAATATATTTTTGTAAAGGAAAATACAGCAAATACAAAACTTGGTAAGTCTAAGTAATGTACAATTAGGTTGTTTAAAAGATTGGTTAAATACCAACATCGACAAAAGACAACATAGCAATTTATAAACAAGTAAGAATGCTCTTTTCGATATATACAATACCCTGTGCCCGGGTCTGAACCATCTAAATGTATGACAATAATAACAGACTTGGCATTCAAAAACTATAATATTTTTTTTTTGAACATGGGAGATATCTCCCACTTCCTGTTGTATACAATTGCACCACAATATTAAGTCAATAGCCCGTTAAAGGGGCACAAGGTATTGCATTATTCAAAACATGAGAAAAGTTACTATTTATATTAATATTTTATACAAGTTTTGAAAACGGTTATGAAAAACAGCTCTGATGTGGTAGGTAACATATTGATCAAATAAAACAGAAGCTCTCAAATTGGTAATTGAGCTTGTTACTGACAGTAAGTTCATATATGCAGATATGACCCGTACAACTAAATTGTGTAAATTGCTGCATACACACAATGCGTATGAACTATAAAGAAAGGGTATTATAGATAAGAAATGAAAGCCTAAAAAGCTGCCAAGCCTATTGCTGGCGCCACTTACTCTTTTAAACTAAAAACTAAAAATTATGTTGCTGTTGTTTCTTTTAATGTCCTTAGTTTCTTAGCACACGGCGGCTGTGGCAACGACATTTCGGCATCTAGTCAATTGCTTTCCAAATGTTTTGCCTGCTCCCATGAGAAACCATCGCGACCAAAGTGGCCGTATGTGCTGGTGCGCTGGTAAATTGGTTGGCGCAGATTTAGGTCTCTGTGTAGTAGAAAGTGTGGAGTAGTTAAAAAAAACTGCATTCTGTTATATGTATTATGCACTTACTTGACAATCATGCCGGGTCGTAGGTCGAAGTTGCGCTTGATAATGTCCAGAAGTTCCTTTTGTGACTTGTGGGAGGTTCCGTAGTCAAAAACGGTTATGGAAAGCGGCTCTGCCAAACCAATGGCATACGAGACCTGCACCAAGCATCGCTTGCAGAGTCCGGCTTTTACCAGCGATTTAGCAACCCAGCGCGCTGCGTAAGCTGCTGACCTATCGACCTTTGTAAAATCCTTACCGGAAAATGCGCCACCACCATGTGCACCCCAGCCGCCATATGTATCCACTATGATTTTACGGCCGGTCAAACCAGCGTCACCCATTGGACCGCCAATGACAAACAGTCCACAGGGATTTATGTGCACAATGGTATTGGCATCAAAGTATTTGGCGGGAATGACAACTTTAACTACCTTTTCCATAACCTCCGAGCGAAGTGTGTCCAGCGCAATTTTATCCGAATGCTGCATTGATACAACTATAGTATGCACGCGCTTCGGCACAGCCGATCCCTGGTTAAAGAGATACTCGCAGGTGACTTGTGTCTTAGAATCTGGACGGGCCCACCAGAAGACATCCGAGCGTCGCAACTCGGCAATCTTTTCGTTTAGTTTATGTGCCAGCACGACCGTTAGTGGCATGCACTCCTCTGTCTCGTCGGTAGCATAGCCAAACATAATGCCCTGTGAACGATTAACATATTGCATTAATAATGCAATTGATTATATTACAATGAAAATAACAATAATCGTTAAACTTTAAGTTAGTACAAGTAAACACCATTTTTTTTTTTAAATGAAATGTTAAGAAGTAACATGGAAAACAAATTAGAGCATGAAAAAGCTGCAGTGACTATGACTGGAGATTTTGATATACCAAAGCAAGCCATATACAATATATGAGGATGTTAGTTAGTGGCTCATGAAAACTGAATATGAAAAACTCTATTTTATGTCATATACGAGTCCAATTTTGTCAAACAAGATAATGAATGTTTTCTTATGTTATGTGAGCAATTTTTGTTTGTATTGCAATTTTCTACAATGTCATATATTGCAATCATAAAATGATTTTAAATGTAGTTTTAGCAATGTACCTTAATATTAATTACACTTATAGCTTTTACATTAGTCACACATATAAAAAAAGAATAGAATATATGCAACATAAATTGTACATGTGACTATTACACTCTTTCCAAAAGAAATTATGAATCGATTATGATAAAATTTATGGCCTTATCTAGCTTATTGGAAAGGGTATATAAGCTCGGCCAGCCGAGCCTTGCATAATTTGTACTTGTTTGTAGTTCACACCTGGTCTCCGGCACCGATTTCTTCCTCAGGGCGATTAACATGCACACCAGCAGCAATTTCAGGCGATTGTTGATCCAATGCCAAGAGAACGTTGCATGTCTTATAATCGAAACCTTTTCGTTTTTCGTTTTATAAACCGTTTGCGAATTAAGTATTAAGGTATCAAATATGGTTAATGTGTGTCGTGTTTTTGTTTTATATGAAACGAAAGAGATAAAAAGTAGAGAGCGCAGCACAATTGAAAATACATAAGTAATGGTAAGTAATGTGTTTGTTATGATATATCCCCGTTAATATTACAAATTGTATTCTGTGTATAATTTATGTATATATATTTAAACAAACATGGCACATTCTGCTTAATATTCCACAAATGAGATATATGTTGGTTGCAGAACTGATTTGATTGTAACCACAGTTCACACCTTAGAAACTCCTTGAGATCGCAGGCATCGACAATTGAGGTCTGATTTGGTGGGATGTAGCATGCATTTGGTTTTAATGTGTTGTTCCTTTAGTTGCTTTTCGAAAACTTACTTATTGGAATACAATAAATGGATTTGGTTAAATGAGAATTTATGTAGTCAGCCCAATCGAAGTGAAATTGATATGCAGTTTCCCAGTAATCTTCATTAAACATATTTTTCTTTTGGCGGATAATAAGAATAATATTTTCGAAAAATATAATAAAATTCATTTTTTTAAAGACCTAATGTATCCTTTTAAATAATTAGATCAAGTTTATAGCTTGTTTGAAAACTATTATGAATATTTTACATTTATCTGGAATTTAAAAATGCAATCACACCTATTGTAGGAGAACGATAACAAGAGAATGAGTTTCGGGTTGGCCACGAAGCGAGCATAGTAAATATGAGAAACATACGATTTAGAATAACATTAAACGAAATGTAAACATAACAAACAAACGCACACTATTCGGCTTCACTTAGCGGATAATAACGGTACAGATATGCTTTGTTATACCTGATCACCAGCGCCGACATCCTCTTCTTCGCGATTAATGTGTACACCGTTGGCAATATCGGGTGATTGTTGTTCAATGGCAACGAGCAGGTTTAACGTCTTCCAATCGAAACCTTTTTGATTTTGAGTTGATTTTTATGGTATTTTTTTTTTAATATTGAATATTCACATATGCACATAAATACAGAAACAATGCATTGAGCAATGTTCCTGAGGCCCACCCACAAGAAAAAGATACTCTCAACTTCGAAGCAAAGCCAAGAAAACTTACCCTTCGAGGAGTCATCATAACCGATGTGTTGAACCGTCTCACGCACAACCTTTTGATAGTCAACCACTGCCTTGGATGTAATTTCACCGCAGAGCAGAATCATGCCAGTCTTTGCCACCGTTTCTATTTTTAAAAAATAATTTCAAATAAGATTCAGCAAGTCAAATTATGCAATGTCAGTGTTCTGACTACAAGTTATAGAAATCATAAGCGTTTGTTGTTTTACTACTAATGTCTATTGGCAAAATAAGCCCTGTAGGGCTGTCGATATTGCACATTTAGCACTGATTTCAACATTATGCGTTTAATAACT